AGAAATGTCAGCATTAGTGTAAGGCAGCTAAAAGAGGGAAATAATTTTCTGACCTGTGGATAACCCCTTCAACCCCAACAGGAAAAGGAATTTTTAAAAAACACCTGAAACCCAGCTTTTCCAGTTATTAGTATAAATGGGACAAACTATTTTTCTTAGTGGCCAAATCCTTCCTTATAGGAAGTGCTGGTCTTTGAATTCAGTGAGGGGAGGGGTCATGTCTGTTTTACTGCTATATTCCCAACACCCAGCTCTAACTCCCACATGCAGAAGGATTTCAATGAACAGCCAAGAAAAGAGAGAGAGAAAGCAAAAGAAAGGAAAAGAAAGGGAGGTGGAAAGAAGGAATGAAAGATAGTAGGGAAGTAGGGAGATAAGAAAGGGAGGAAAAAGGGAAGGAAGAAGGAGCAGAAGAAGGAAAGAGAGAGAGGGAGAGAGGGAGAAAGAAAATAAAATAAATTCAGAAGGAGATCTTTTCTCCTTTCCTTTTATCTTTATGTTTCTTGAACCTTCAAGCATCTGGCTCACTAAAAACCTGATCATAGCTTTTCTTAGGGCTTCCTGTCTGAAGCTGTAAGATCACCAGTGCAGTCAACTCTGCTACCAGCAACTCTCCACGGGGACCAAGTAGAGGGTGGGAGGGGTGAGATGAAGTTAATGGAAGTTCCTCTCTTCAAGAGTCATTTATTCAGCACGCAGGAGTATGACTGCCAACCACCTCCAGTGTGTGGCACAACCCCCCATGGAGCTGGAGAACCAGACAGTGCTCAAGGAGGCCACCATCTACTAGGAGAAACAATGCCTAAGTCAAGGTAGGCTTTAACACAGGCCAGGGAAAGGGTCAGATAAAGCTCTAAGAAGATCAAGACAAAGGAAATTGCATCTGTCTGAGGAGCTCAGGGAAAGTTGGAGAGGTGACACCTGAGAAGAAACCAGCCCAAAGAGGGAAAAGGGAGGGAGGACATGAATCTCAGGGCAAAGACAGAGGCTGGCAGCACAGCAGGCAGAACAGTATTTCCCCAAGTGCTTCATGGGGTATATTCTATGAACCTCATATTTGGGAAACCATGGATCGCACACAATTGCACAGGTGTCCCTACTGTGAGTCTTCTCAAAGATTTTAATGCAACTGGAGCAGAAGTGGCAAAAGATTCCATTTGCATATCAGAAAGGACTGGCTTTTAGGTGAAAAAAAAAAATCTAGTCACTTACTAGCTGTATTAACTTGAGCATAATATTCAACTTTGGTGAACTCCAGTTTTCTATTCTCCAACATGAAAGAATTGGTGGTCCTAACATCATACAGTTGTTTTGAGTAAATACTATATAAAAAGTGATTAATTCAGTGCTGGCACTTAGTTAATGCCCAGTATTATTTCTACTGCTTCTACTTCTACTTTTGTTATTTCCATTATTATTAAGATGGATGTGCATCATGAATGTAAAAATTAAGAATGTCATATATATTATTTCTTCAAAGAATTTGTCAGTTTTTCATCAGCTATTTTTTCAGAAATGCCAGGTCAGCATACAGTACCAGGCCTAGCACATAGTAGGTGCCCACTAGGTGTCTATGGAGAGAACGGGGCAAGAACTGACCCTAACAAAGAGCAAATTGCAGGACAGCAAGGGAATGCTCTAAGCAAGTTGCTTCTCATTATTTCTTTGGGCAACAGGCCTTTGAGGTCCAAGAGTAATGACTTCATCCTTTGCTAGAAGAATGAGAGATTGAGAGTGCAGTACTGAACTTTGGGGAAACATCACAAAGAGTTTATTTTGGTGGAAATGTTTGAAGTGACTCTGTAACAATGAGCTCATGCCTGCTGCCAGGCCCCAGCTATGAGCTGGAGCCTGCTTGCCAGGGAGATGCACACAGTCCATCACCAATTCCACTTCTGTGGGACATAAAAAGGGAGGATCCCAGAAGCCCTACTCCAAAAACAGCTGCTTCCTTTCCAAGAGGGGATATTGAGGCACAAACAAGGAAGTAGCTGACCCAGGATCCAAAGCAAATCAGAGGCTGGAAGAGCCCAGAAAGGCCCGAGCCTTCTAGTTTTACTTGGTCAACTCTCTGGCAGGATTTTGAAGTGAATCACAAAGGATACTTTTTATTTATTTATTTATTTATTTATTTGGTCAGTTGCTGTATACATTTATCTAGATGACTTCATCTGTCATAAATCACATGCTAATCTCACAAATACTTCCTAGAAATGAGCAAACTTCACATAAGCCCTCCCCTCAGAGTGCAATGCAGGGATCCTATTATATCCCTATAGCTTCCCACTGGTTTTTGTGCAAAGAGATTCTTGACAGAAGTGGAGTTTCTGGAGTGAGAATGTGAACAGGTCTGGAATATGACATTTGCATTTTACCAAACCAGATCCTTATTATATGTCCACTTGATTTCAAGTACAGAGTCTATATGGAGTTTGTAAAGGAAATGAGGCCATTTAAAAAGGTAGCTGGAGGGGAAGATTTCCTATAGAGTCTAGCACAGAACAGAAGACCAAGAGTTAGTCAAGTTTTCAAACTTCAGATTGGGAGGTAGGGAGGTGCAGGACAGACTATAAAATTCTATAGTAAGAAAGACCATACATTTTTTAAAAAAATATATACGTGTTATATGTATACACACATATATGTATATGCACACACACACAAATATATGCATCTCAACTGTAAGCCATATAAAGAAAGTGCATGGGCCAGAGATCCTGTATTCAATTCAATTGTTACATTTGTTTTCCCTTAAATATTCTTTTCTTTTTCAAGTTTTTATTAAATTCCAGTTACTTAACATACAGTATAATATTAGTCTAAGGTGTAGAACTTGGTGACTGATTCATCACTTACATACAACATCCAGTATTCATCACAAGTGTCTTCCTTAATACCCATCACCTCGTTAGCCCAACCCCCCCATCCATCTCCTCTCCAGAATTGGTCCATTTCATTTTATTTTAACTGGTAAACTTGGAAGTGGTGGGGAAAAAAGCAGAGTTAACTCTGGAAACTTGTCAAAGCTCAAGAAAGCTTCCAAGACCTATAGACATTTTTGTTCCAGGAAAGTAGGGTTGCCCAATTCATCTTACACTAAAAATATAACAAGAGGCCGTTAACAAGGATTGCACATTTTCTCCATTGTGTTCATCTGGGGCAAGAGGTTAAATGATATTGAAATGATCTGAATCTTAATTTGACCATATAGTTCACGCAACTAGACTTGGACTGAACATTTTACCAAACCTAATTGACATACCATGCCCCTTGTAGAAAGACCCCTTGGTACCCACAACCTCTCCCAGCCCTAATATTGCATCCTGTCTTCTGAGAGTCACAGTTCAGTTTCATGAAACTGAAAAAAGCTAAATACTACACAGTACAGGTTTCTGACACATAAGACACAGCAGAATGCCTGTAGAACAAATCTAAAGGTCCTGGCAGGGAGTTTTAGGTGTGGGAGCCAAAGTGGTCCCTGGTCTCAAGGGCTTCAATATCAACAGGAGCAGCAGAGGGAAGGCAAAATGAGAAAGAAAACAAAAAATACAGGCAAGGAGAAAAGCTTAAAGCTTCATTAAAGGAGTGCATCCAAAGCTTGAAGGCAAGATTTGGATGTGATGTGGCCAACCTCCTCCTCTCCAACCTTCATTATGATGTCTGTGTCTCCACACAGGGGCACCAGAAAGTGAATTAATAGTTATTAGATTTTGGGTGAGAGCAGTTCTGTAGGACCATGATTTTGACCCCTGTTTAGATCACAGGAGAACTCTTGAGAATGGGCTTCCTTCAATGAGATCAAGTTTGTGGGACACCCACTGTGGTATGTGGAAATAGCAGAGATTTGGTTTCATTTTCAGGGACTATGCGCCACAGGGATTGGGAATAGGCAGTGGGACAAAAGTGGTGTATGGGCAGGAGGACTCACTTTGCAATTGTCTGCTGCTGGCATAAATGAATTGGTCTGGTGGCTTAGGTGCTGAGCAGTGGATAGACACACAGGTACAGATACTGAATAAAGAGAAGAAAATAACATTGCTTGCCTCTCAAAGAGCAACTGCACTGGCTATCAGTTTGAGTCTTTTTTTTTTTTTTTTTTTTTTTTTTTCCCAAGACTTGGTAGCCTAAATCATACCATGAGCACTGTCTGGTAAATGCACTGATTAAATGAAGAAATCACTAGATAGTACTGCATATTATTATAAGGAGAAGGTCTGCTTGACTTAAAGGAGAACCAGTTACTGACTTGGACTCCTATCTAAGAGGAATCAAATCTGGGATGCATTTCTAAAACAAAATATTCATTTTGCTTCTTAATATCAGGATGCACATAGTCAAGGCTGAATCTAGTTTTACATTTGGTCCCATATGCTATGCCCTAGATAATTAAAGTACGTCTTACGGCTAATAAAAATGAAGTTAAAAAGTCAAAAACCAAAACAATGACAGGAAATAACATGTGTGTACAATATGTTACCAACACACTGATAATTTTCAAAAGTGACTTTAAAAAAGTATCATAAATCTTTCAAAACACAGTGATTTATTAACCAAAAAGTCTGAGTGGTTTGCACTATTAAATTTAGCTTTTGAGTTTCTGTGTCACAGGCAGATCTTTTGTTCTCCTAGGTTAAATTTAGCATCCTGGATTTTGTTTTTTCTACTGCAACATGTTTCATCATCACACAGTCAATTTTCTGAGCTGCTTGGGAGAAATGCTCTAGAATTTCACTCTGATTTCTCTTAGTTGTTGTATAATCTGGGAATCGAAGGTATCGAATAATCCAACAGTGATTTACTTCCCATCTTCTTCTTTGCCCTTTCCCACCTATATGGCTTTCTCATAAAACAAACCTTCCCTAGGCATGGGATGAAATGAAAAAAAAAAAAAGCGGTGGCCAGATGAAAACCATTTCAGAAATGTGTTTGTTAAACAAGTGCAAGCAATAAATTGAGCTTAGGAGGGAAAGGCGGTTAGAAGAAAAACTGAAAGTACTGACCTGAGAGTCAAGCTGATTGGAGCAAGGGTGAAAGCAGCGATTTGGAGGATAAGCAGAAAAGAAAAGGGATAGCAAAAGAGAATAAAAGGAAGGAAATGCATTAGTCTTAAACATATAGCCAACAGATGTTATATTAGCAGGTTTTATAACCAAATGAAGGACAATAAAGCAACTTTTATCTGTTATAACCCCCAAAAGCCCTGGGCACACACTGTAAACTGTTCTATTAAATATTACACATAGGAAACCAATATCTGCTCTCATGCATTATCACTGTAAGCACTGGTGTGAACCAGAGGTGTGTTGTAGCAACGCAACAGCAGAATTTGCCCTCTTCTGGTGGAATATTCATAGGGACAGTTCCTATCTGTGTCCATACAAAATTCTATTATTTAATAAACTGAAATGAAAGTTACTAAGGCATTAGAGCTAGTGGTAAGCACTGATGTCGGAAAGATTTTATTTGAACCAGTAAGTTGGACGGTTACATCTTATGAGATGTTCTTCCTTCCTCCTTGAAAATCAAAAGGAGCTGAACAATTTGGCTTTCCGTTCAAAGATTTACATTTTACATGCTCACAAAGCACTGCACCTAGCAATGATCAAAAACACTGTGAGCAGGGCTTTGGGTGAGGAGCTGCCTGCCTATCAGTCTCCCAAGAGAGGACAGAGCAACTTCCAAAGTTGAGAGTAATTTTTTTTCAGTTGTAAAAATGAGGATCATACTTCCATCCCTGAAAATATCCAGATGCTTGATAACTTATTTGTGCAAAAATATTTAAGATGCCCTTCTTATTGGTCAAAATAATAAAGTCCCAAATCCAAGCAAAAACTAAAAGAAAAAAAAAAAAAGTGATGATCTTCAAGCTACCACAGAAGCATACAGTGGACATTTATTTTATGAATCTATTTAATGCTCTCTGTAAAACAACAAAGTGAATGAACAAATATAATACCAGTGATCTGCTCAAGGGGACCCCACCATTCCATACTATTAAAAAGTAATTTTAGGAGCACCTGGTTGGTTCAGTGAAAAGAGCATGTGATTCTTGATCTTGGGGTTGTAAGTTTGAGATCCATGCTGCGTGCAGAGATTGCTTAAATAAATGAAACTTTAAAAATTTTAAAATAAATAAGTAGTTTTAAGCATTTCACAGAGGAAGGAAAAACAAAATAAATCCTCAGACGAAAGCTTAAACAAGAACATTTCAAATGAAAACAGTGTTGATCAAAATGATAAAAATCAAAGAGAAAATTCAAGATTAAACACACGGTGTAAGCATTGGTCCAATAATCCCTCATATCTGAAATCCCCCTGCACAGTATTTTGTGATCATGAACACACAACTGATTAAAAATAAGTTCGATCAAGCCATGATCATTGTGGGAACTTTGGCCCCAGCTGTTGCTTCAAATTCTTCTGGATCAGAGAGGTATATCAAACTGAGGTCTATGGCCAAGCTTTAGAGCATCCTAAATTGAAATAGCAAACAAACATTTGAAATCAGTTGACTTTTCCAAGGATTCCTAGTTTTCATCAAATTCTCAAAGGCATCCATGACCTTCCCCAAAGGGTTGGTAGGGATGGTGCAAAACTATCTGCCACTTGTTTCATTGAAATTTCTTCAAACACTTTATCAAATATAAATGGATATTTTTCAGCAAGAAGAGTTTATATCAAAACAGAACTGGTATCAGGTTTCTTCAATGTATCATGAGACTTCTAGAACACAGTATCCCATTTTTCTAAATAAAGCTTTAGTTTACATTTTGTTAAAAGTGTTCTGAAAGGCATCAAAGAAATTATGTCATCACATTATTGAAAAACTTCAGAAGGAAAAATAATAGTCTGCTTCTCAACCTTAGATAAGGTGCTTTTAGGCATCTAAGATGATTGCTCAAGTGTCCGAATGTCTGATGGCATTAGTCAGTGATCCAGATAATTAAGGGCTACCTGTTTTCTATTCTGACGTTATGTCTTATGAGCAGAACCCCAAAGGACACATGCTGTTCTCCACAATGGGGAGGGATGTGATCAAGGGCTTGATTTGGACATTTCCTGTCCCCTAGACAAATACCAACAAACCCCCTACTATATTTAGGATAATTACATGAATAGTCACCTGACTGATACGTTTCAGTGGCTGAGATGCAGAAACCTAGTGGCAGCAGACCTTGTTTGACAAGAGATCTGTTAGCCTCTCTCTTTCCCCTAAGGCAGAACTAATTCTGAAACTCTAAATAAAACTCAGAGCCATTGATGGGCACTGACACAGAAAGACCACATATTTCAGTCCCTTTAATGTTTGATTACCTATCCGATCATACAGCAGATGTGGTATCTAGCACCAGCGATCAAATAAAGACTTCAGCTTGATTTGGACCAACACTTAGGGGTATGCTCAAGGCCCTTCACCCACTTTGTGTCAACCTTCCCCAGAGTCCATTCACTTGCTGTCCAAGGCAGAAGCTCCCTGCTGAGCCATTAGCATCAAGTGCAAAAGTTTATAGGAAAAACTGCACATGGGGACCACACTGGAGCAATATGCATTTTGAAAAGCAAAATCGTTAATGGCCGATGTAAAACATCCTTCACGTGGAATTTAAGAGGTAAATGCATCCTTATAAGTGCCAGGCATATGTGATTTGGAATGTATACATTGTGAAAAAAATAAAAAATGGGAAGATTAGCAGAGTAGAAAGCAAACAAGAACTGCCCTCTGAGAGAGAAGTAAGCCAGCGTCAGTGTCATTTGAGTTATGCTATTCCTAACCCTGAACCTTTTGTTGCACATGACTGAAGTTCTGGAATATTTTAGAACACTCATTGCTTTTAAAAAGAAGTCTTTTCACTCTGGTAGGTCACGTTACAGATCAGAGACCACAAATTTATTTCAAGTTCAATTTTTTGGTTTTCAAAATCACAAACTTAATTGCAAACACTCCTCTATGAGTCCAAAATGGAGATATATGTCACACTGCTAAGAAATCTTTAGTTCCCCACATTACGAGGTAGGAGTTTCGTAGTTTAAACCAGAAAATGGAGATATTGCCCAATTTGAAAAGGGCTGCCTGACAAACAAGAAAGATGTTTTGGTCAGAATACACATGGAGCCCAGCAGATAATGATTCAGAAAGTCAGGCCGAGGCTGAGCTCTTCTTTTCCCAAGAAACTTCCCCTCTTACTTTCCACCCCCGCCCCCAACCTCCTTCAGGCCTGGGCTGGGGCTGGATCTCAGACATTTCCCAGACTATGTTCTGCTGCTGGACCCAAGACACAGGCAGGCAGAGAACTGGGACAGACTCAAGTCTCACCACACGTTTTATGAATTACAGTGCCTGGGAGGCATCAGCTTTAAGGAAAGGCAAAGGCAGAGATAAAGAAAATGTGCAGAAAGTACATAAAGATAAATGCCTGTAAAATCACTGTTGTTTTAATACATTCCATATTGAGGATATAAAAATGTGAATATTCTTGATGATTTAATGGCACTAGTGTCCAGCTAAAACCTGTTTGTCTAACTGGATGACTACACTATTTTTATGCAAATATTTATAGTAGCTGATCCTGATTTTTCAGTTACAGTTCTGGGGAGCTTCAAAATGTGGGGCACATCACTTTCTCTCATGAAAGCTAATAAAGATGAGACAGATCTCCTGTGGCCCAGCAGCAATGCCTCTCTCTCTCTCTCTCTGCAGGCTATGTGGCTGTTCAGTGCTACTAGACTAACTTCTTCCTTCTGGCTCACTGTTGGACAGGATTGTTCTCAGTCATTAACCTGTTAGACCTGGGTTCAAATTCTGACTTTGAATCTTATAAACTCTGAAAGCTTTAGGAAGTTACATATAGTTAATTAATCTGTGTGAGTCATTCATGTAATATAGTTTTCTCATCTATGCAATGAAGATAATGATACTTCCTGTGTTGTTGGTAAGATTAAATGGTATACAGTATTACAGGTCAACTGCTCAGCAGAGCAGTGAGCACAAAAAATACATTATTATTATCATAATTACTATTCTAATATTATCTAAGGCATAGACAATATTATACTCTTCAGAGGCTCACAGCTTCTCAGAACAACAGACTAGGAGTCAGGAAACATACATTATAGTTTTGCCTATTTCTGACCACAGGACCAATCTCCAAGAGGTAATTCAACCTTTCAGGGTCTCAGTTTTCTCACCAATAAAAGAGATGTGATGGTAACGTCCCTGTGATTTAACATCAGCTTTTCAGGAAAAATTTTGGTCCTAATATACAATTCCAAAGTAGACATGTAGATATATCTAAAGTTAACTGTGTTTTTAAGAACCAATAAACTGGCAGAACATTTCCACATTTTAAAACTAATATTAAGTCTTTAAGGATTTTAATTTGTACACTTATCTCAGGAAAAGAAATTTCTGACTTAATCACTAAAATTGGTCACACTGTATAAAAATCCAGTTATCATCAAACTAATACTAAGGTTTTTAAGTGAAATATTAATTGATTTAGAGTTTGAATATATTAAATACTATGCTTGAAAATGTTGAAAATTTGAGAATTGACCTATCCATTTAATACCTGGCCACTTAATACTGATAATTTATTTGTTTTAGCATTCAATTATTCCTAATGATGTAACTATCCCACAAGGACTTGGCACCTGAAAAGTATAATACATTTTAAGGTCACATGGCTGATACAAAGCAGAAGCAAAATTTGAACCCAGATCCTTCTGTCAGTAGAGCCTATGCTCTTTCCACAGGCCACAGGGAGCTATTCTGCATATGTCTTAAAGTCCTGTCAGGCCTCACAAGTGTCTTGATCAGAGCTAGCAAACATTCACTGATTTATTCAAAATTTGTTCATTTCTTCCATATGGACTGAATCTAGGAAAGACAAATTCTGCCTTATTGCTGAACCAATAAGAAATCCTCAGAGGTAATGGAGTTACGTAAGATTATTCAGAAATTCTTTCCTTATATGAAATACAGGAAAATGCATTGATAGAAAGCTTATTTTTAGAGTCTATCCTATATATAAATACAATATGGATATGATTTATCTGAAAATCTAAATACTCTGGAACCCTGATATAACCTTCTTTGTTTTTAGACAGAATTTGCTATCAGGTAGGCCTGCCTTAGACCCTATTCAAACATATTTATTTAACAAATGTTGTAAGGTCCTCTTAAAAGATACATCCCAGATGAATTTGTTGTGGTGTGCCAAAAAACATCGAAAGGATATGAGCTCCTTTCCCTTTCTCCTATCTTGAATGAATTGCCAAATACATTTTTTGCTTGAAACAAACCTCAACCACAAATGCTTGACTTTCATGGGTAAAAACAAAACTAAACTAAACTAAACTAAGCTTCCAAGTAGTCAGAGCCTCAATTTCTCACACACTTTGTTGGCACACATGCTAGATGAGGGACATCACTCAAGAAACTTGGCCATTACTTTCTTAAACACTTAAGAAGTACACAAGCCCTCAAAAGATACGCCAATTGCCTTCTTGAGTATCCCACAGAAATATAACGTCATCCCTAACAGGCCTGGTTCCTCACACATCACTCGTTTCCAATTTGAAATATGAATATGCATTCCAAATCCGCTACAACCTGTGATGGACAACTAAGCAAACTAAACAAACATGTTCACTCACTGCTGACAACTCACAACATGGCTGCAACACTTACCTCTCAAGTTCGGCAATCTTCTTGTCCTTGTCATTCTTTTCATTCTCCACCTCCTTGAGGATCTCCAGCAACCGGTCAACTTCCGCTTGGGCCTTGCCGCACTCATCACGGTAGTAAGAGGCCTCTTTATCAAGTTGTTTTATTCGGTCTGCAAACTCGGGGTTCATCCTGGAGTCATCTTCAATATTATGAGCCTTCAACATTACATTTTTAAAGAATGTAGTTAAGACAACAATTTAGGACGATAGGTAGTGCAGTCACCAATGGTCCAGAAATTATCAATGGAGGAAAAAATAATCATCACCAAGAATTATGGGTATACTGTCAGTTAAAAGGCAAAATGGAAAATCACACAATTCGGCTACTTCAGAACAATACTGATTTTATATTATATTACAGTTTCACAGGAGAGAGTTTTTTTTGTTGTTAATATTTTGTTGCATTAATGTTATTACTTTTGGGTTTTTTTTTTTTTCCCCACCAAGAAATGGGGGATGAGTGTGGGGAGAGACTGACATCTTTATTCCTCATGCTTTGGCAAGCAGAACTAACACAATTCAACTCCTCACAGTTAAGGAGGTGATTCATACCAACAGCTTCCTTTTCCAGTAGAGAAACTGAGATAAAACAATATTAAATTATTTTTCCGAAAACTATCAAAGGTATATGTAAAGCCAGGTAACATGTAAGAGACTGGTTAACTGATGACTGAGTACTTCATTCTACTGAAAAATTTCAGCAGAAGATGTAGGTTGAAAGAAAGACTCACAAGTGAGGAAGGGCTTTCCAGCTAACAGTCATACCCATAATTTCTTGTTCTCTTAAGTAAATTTAACCTGAACCAGGAGGAGGATGAGCTAATTCATGAACAAGCACATAGACAAGAATCTGCAAACACATGCATGGGTGGGTGGCAGCTTCTCACACAAGAACATACACAGGCAACAACACAGCAACAACACTGCAGAATAATTTGCAGCCAAAGTATTTGTGGTTTTGTGTGTCTGAAAGTGTGTTATGGCTTTTTTTTTTTTCCAAAATAAACTTTTGGCTGAAATATTCTCAAGACAGATGAAAATAACACGGCACTGCAATGTTTTGCCTACCCCTTGTTTCCCATTATTCCTAAATGACTTCTTCAAAGAGTAGGCAGGGAAAAAACAAGTAGTTTAACAACAGTGCACATTCAACAGAGAAAGTTCAGAGAAGTCATATATGTATGTATCTCCAAAATCCATGTGTGAAATCATACATACAATGTTAACAATTTATTAGGATTTAGGTTGTTCTGCTGTCTTGCTATACAGAACAGATGTTCATTGTGTTTTTATATCTTTTTGTTTAATTTCAGGGAAAAAACAGGCAAGCAAGCTACAGCTACTGTGGGGTTAAATGAATCATGCATGGTTAGAAAAATTAATACTAATAACTACTATTACAAGGTTAACAGTTTTTGCAATGAATTTAGTTGAAAAAATTAAAAAAATTAGTATAAAAATAAATTTATTTATGACAAAATAATCATTTTTAGAATAATATTCTTGCATGTAACATATTATTTAAGCATGAGGATAGGAGGAAAATAATTTGCTTTCATGTTCTTTAATCTAAGATTTCTTTATCCAAGAAATAAACTCAAGTATGCAAAAAGAACTTGGAGAAATTTTTCAATTCAACATACTACTATCAGGTACTAGTTTATTCCCTTTTACCAATATTTCTCAGAAAGCATTTATTTTTATTTACTTAGTATGTACATTAGACTTCATTCTAATAGATTAGTGAGCTTTTTCAGTATAATTAAAATAATCTGAAAGAGAATCCTGAGCTAATATGCCTTTAGAAGTTTATTCATCTAACAATTTTATTTTAAATTGAAGTAATGAAAATTTTAATTTGTTAATTGTCACTTTTAAAACATAGGGTCAATATTCTAATTTAAAAGAAAATACTTCTATACCTATTTATATTTGTGATAAGTATCAATTCATTACTCTTGTATCAGAAAAGCACTGAAAATATAGTTTTAAAATTCCTAAGAAAAAGAAAACAAAATATTGATGTTAATTCTTTTCCACTTTTATGCCATATTACCATTATTTTATGGCAGCTGAGGAGCATTTCATGACATTATCTCAAACAACCTGACCAACAATACTAAGATCTTTAAAAAATAATTCAGGAACTGAACTAGAAACACACAAAACAAATATAAATATGCTTTCATTGCATGCCTCTGATTTAAGATTCCTTTCTTGACTCTGACTTAAAGATTCACAAAATGCTAGCAGTTCAGTTAGCCACTGTGCTTTATTTTGGTTGTTTTTTTTTTCTTATGATTATGACTATGACTATTAATAAATGGCTACATAATTACTATTCGTGAGACCTAGATTCTAAATTTAGCCGTGTGTTATGACTACTGTGGGCAAAGGAGTTGGCCTCGCCAAGGACAGAAAAAGCAACCATACAACAAACATGGGGAAGGTATTATTATTTGTATTCTTATTATGAGTATTATTTTATGATATGCACTCTGCTAGTGGGGCTTGTTATACAGCTAAGTTAATAGGTTTATTTAGTTTCTCATCAAGATACTACATATGTCTTAGAGAAGCCTCCCTGTAGGCTTACAGAAAAAGCAGTCTGCTGGTAAATGGGTATCTGAGCACATTCTTTATTTTAGCTCTATGAAGAGAAGATAACCCAAGGCCAGCTTTTGACACTGGGTGAAATTAGATGGGTTGGTAGTCTTTTCAATCGAACAAATGACTCATGGGATGTTTAGAAGTACAGAAAGCCTAGGAAAAGACATGCCTGAATCTAGGCCACTTTCGGCCTCATGTGATATTAAAGTTAGATCATATTATTAAAAGAGATCATAGCCACCTTTACAGTTAGCCTGGTATCTTTTAGATAATACTTGTAGGTGCTAATGATTCTTCCTCTTAAAACAAGAATAACTTTGAGTTAAATAGATCTCCATACCAATGATAAGTGCCAGAATTCCCTGAAGGGTTATTAAATAAACATGTAAATAGATACCATTTAAAAACTGTTAAGTCAATAGAAAGCTTTAAGTAAGAGTCACACAGAAGTGGATGAGTAACATCTACTTCTGGGTCATCACTAGTGTCCAAGCGAAGACTCAGGAGAGGAGTTTCTCATGACTGAACAGCTGGTGAATCCCTGATCCAACCCGAGTAGTGGGGGCAAAAGTCTCCACAGAATTTATAAATGATATTGCAAGTAACCACTTCTATTCAGCTTGAATCATTACTTTTCAGAGGATGGGCTGAAATTGTTAAGCAGTGTAGCATGAGTGTGATATACTATGATCTACAAACATGAGAGTTATACTATACTAAAGAAATACAGGAGGAAATTGAGCTTATAAAGCAACACTTCCTTCCAAGTTATAAGGTCAGAGACTCCTCTAAAAATGAAGTGAAGGAAGCACTTTATTTGCATTTAGCAATGCTCTTGGCTTTTCAAATTATAACAATGGGTTCTTGAACCTAGAATGGCAGCTCCTAATAGGGATTAAAAGTAGATAACAGAATTGGACCTAATATACTTTAGACACTGCAGAAAAAATATAGATATATATTTGAATAATCATTATCTGAACAAATTCCTACCATGGCATTCTTACCCATTCAAGGTTTAAACTAAAAATACACAGCAATTATTTCCCCTTATTTGAATTGGCTCCCCCAAAAGGTGAGGAAGCGACTGCCCACTTCATTCTAAGGCACATCAGCTTTGTCCCCTCTCTTCATTAGTCAGGAATCTAACACTTGAAAATGCAGATTGGTGTGGATTTAATGGTTTTAGAAGCTACTTATTATAAATATAAGGTAGAACATTGTCACTGTCAAAGACATTCACCAGTCATAAAAAGAACAAAAAAAAAATGTCAATGAAAATCCTTTTCTTAATGTAGAGATTTAATTTTGTTGATTAAACCAGTCAGTTTAAAGGCAAATCCAGGTATCTGGTTCTGCCTCAACATTATTTCTGTTAACTTTTAGAGCAACTCTCAAGCATCTCACAGAAACATAGAAAGTTGGGAAAAAAATATTTCAGAAATGACTGTATTGCATATTAGATCAGTAAGTTCTGAGGATCCTCCAATTATGTTTTCCTACATTTATAAGGAAATTTCCCCCATAAATGGGAACAATCAAAACAAACTTTGGAGACTCACTGATGTGGGCAAGCCTTGGAATTTTACATAAACTGACTTTGAAAGCCTGAATCAAGCACAAAAGAGAAATTTGGCCATGACTTAGGACAAGTAGTACATAACAATACCTAGGGGCTATTTTAATTATAGAATTTAGAACTATTTCAGAAAACAAAGCAAAGTTTCAAGTTAATATTATATTTATATTAAAGTTAAGAGCAAAAAGTGATTTAAGCCAAACCAGGGATTGATAGTATCAATATGAAAAATCACAAGCTTATTAATAATTTTCTTATAAATTTTGGACATTGATTATTTTCAATAAAATTCTAGTTCATCATTCCAAGTGCCTAGAAAGGAAAGCATTAACTTTGGCCCAGAAACCTACTATGAAACTGGGCAGGGAATATCCAATTATAATATTGTATAGCATTCTTTCTTTGAAATGGGGCCTAACAATTTAAAAAATCATTTCTTTCAAAATAAACGAATGATTAGTCATGATCATAAAGCACAAGCAGAACACTAACTAATGAGTCTGATGGTTTTTCTTCCCTGTGTTTATGGGTTTTAGCAATAATTTGTTAAATTTATGCACAGTGAAAATATGATTCTTAATTGCAGCACTTTTGGGGGTTTAAACATTCCTTTCATATCTGAGCAGCAGAAGAGGGCATATAAACTACTTTAAACATTGTATTTTATTTCAATCTTCTAAAAGAAGTTTCAACCTTCACATAATTCTGAGTTATGAACAAACCTTACTTTTTAAAAATAAAGGTTTGAAGGGTAATTATAGAACTGTAACATATTATAAAATTTACATTTTATTTTAAATCTAATTAATTAATACCAAATATAAAAGCTGAGCCTTAATAATACATTCAAAATCTAATAATGATAAAAATTTGAATCTTACTCTACTTAGTTCTAAAGGAAACTTCTTTTATAATTCTAGCTAAGTACATCCAGAATACTCACAATTTTCATATTACAACTATTCCA